CGAGGTTACCTGTTACAAGAAGAAGAGCAGTCCGCTTTTCCCCCGCCCGGGGGGTTATTATAAATCATTTACCGGGACCCCGCGCCCAAAAGAAAAAGGTTATACTTACAACCAGGCTCGCCTGGCCTCGCCGTGTGCGTTCGAAAACCGGTTCCTCCTACCACGCTCACTAAAGGCCGTTGCTTAGGTGGTTGCCTGTCCGCTATCACGCATGTTCGAAGACAAGGGGCGTGCTGGGTCGCCTCACTTAACCGCTCAAATAAGTGTCGTGCCGGTTGCCACCTCCTACCACGCTCAAATAAAGGCGTTTGCATATGGTAGACCGCCGAACCCGCAGTAGTCGAGATAAAGGAGGGCGTGAGGTTTGCTCGCTTACCTCAACAGTAGGTGTCGTGCCGGTCGTTGACCCCTGCCTACCACGCTCAAATAAAAGGGTGCATAGGTAGACCGCCGGCCCGCACACGTTAGTCGACAGATAAGAGGGCGAGGGTTGCTCGCTTACCTTCTCGTAGTGTCGCGCTAGTTGCCCTTCCTACCACTCAAGGAAAAAAAAGCGTGCATATGTGGACCACTTAAACTCGCCACGCATGACGAGGTAAGAGAGCAAAGAAGGGAGGCGACTGTCCGCCGACTCGTCGTATGCGTTCGGACCGGGGTCCCATCCCACCATGCGCAATAAAGGCGTGTATAGGCGGTTTTTCTGTCCGTCGTTACACGCATCGAGGACGGAAAGCCTGAGTTTAGAGGTTTTATTACTTTGGCGCCGACGGACCGGCGCGTCGATGAGCTCGCGGGACCGAGGCGAGGAGAGGGTAGGGAAGCAATATTATTTTGTATATTAACTTAATTTTAATTATAATTAATATAATAAATAATTTAACTAATTATAATTAATATCATAATTAATAATTAATTAATAATTTAAAAAATAACCTAATTAATTATGATTTTAAATTTATAATTAATCACATATAGAAATTTAATTTTTGTTTAATTAATATAATTAAAAAATAACTAAATTATAATTATGCTTTGATTAATTAGTAATTAAATTTTTACTAAATTTAAAATTAATGTAATAAAATCTTTTTTTTTTTGAAATTTACGGGAATTTGGCCGGATGGTGAGAAAGTTAACCTCCACAGCAAGCGTCGCTCCCTTGTTCCGAAGTCAAAAAATGCTCAGTGAAAGCTTCCGGTCGTGACAGATAGGCGGTCAACACGACAGCGCGGCTATCACAGACCAGTAATACTTAATTGCAAGACTAGCACGAAAAAACCAAACTTCCACTTCTCTTGCTTCCGGTCAAATTGTAACATTCCTCTCAGACAAGAGGAGAAAGTCGTCCGCTTATCGGATTGATTATGTCTTGGAAAGTGCGGTCGAACAGCCCGAAGAGCGAAGGAACCGCCGAAAGGGAGAAAGTTCTCCGCTACAGGCCTCTCCAGAAGCGATACACCGATTCTGCTATCCGATCCCCCGACTCTGAGAAGGACAAATCTCGATGAGGCGAAAGTCTGGTCGTGTAGAGCATTGGTTGAACGGGAAAGGATGAGTTCGAGGAAGAGAGGCTGGAGACGGAAAGAGGGTCAGCAGGAGAAGCGCGGCTTCGTTTTCTTCAGAGCTATTATAACGAATCATAATGAGTCGTCTCGGCAAATCGTGGGAAGAAGTGACGCGAGATCGTGATTCGAACGATGCGACGATGCGGATCGCGGGGAAGGCGACCGACGTGCGAAATGGCAGAGAGGTAAGGATTCTTGGTTGGTTTTTTTTTTTTTTTTTTGCTGTAGGGGTCAACAATAGGCATGCATATGCTTGGAATATTGGAGACAGAAAAGCACTTAAATTTTTAATTTGCAATTCTTTTTTATGAGTAGTTGTCTGTACTTTAACACGTGTTTTGATGTATAGATGAATATTGATATTATTACACGTTAATTACCAAACGAAAAAAACCATAATGTGTAAACTGATTTTTAATCCTAAATTGTTTGCCCAAACAGTTACAAAAGATTTATTATTGCTTATTGCCAAACTGTTTTTCAGAAATTAACAACCGCGTCGTTGTTATCTATTGATTCTCCTGCTTAATTAATAACCTTGTGCAATCCAACAAGGGCCATAGGATGATGAATGATCAGAAACCAAAAGCGAAGCTAAATAAAAGATACAAAAAATAAATTAATTAATTAAATCGGATTTTTCAGATTACCCAAGCCTTTATATTCAGCGTCCTATTGCATCTCACCTGACTTAGAATCTTTCCAAGGACTTGCTTCCATACAAACATAACTTATTGATTAAAAGCAACCCTTGGATACTTCATATCTTCTGCTCGATCTGGCGATCAAACGCGATATAATTATGACTGGTTCTCTGCACACACAACGCTGCCAAGGACATATTGGCACCATCAAGAACGCGAAGAGCTCTTCTCAATCCTCCAATAGTAAAGGTCCACATAGATGCCCGCGGTGTCAATTATATTAACTTAACCCATTAAACCATACAATATAAGAACTAAAAGTTACAACAATTCGGAATCATAACTAGAGAGGACTGCATTTTTATATGACCTGATAAGTTTCAGGTGCGTATGTAGCAGCGGACTGGTATTGCGTGACTCCCTTTCCCGCTCGAGATCCATGTAGTCCATCTTTGCACCAACACCAATCCCGACCTCTGACCTTATGAATCTCGTGGATCCGACCGGTTGTAGAAGAGAACCTCTCAGTAAGCGTCATCTTACCCGAGTCAATGTGAGCCGATATCCCGATGTTCCTCACCTTATCCAACGTATCCTTCCACCAAGCCTCCTTCTCCTCCTTGGTGCGCGGCCAGACCCGCCGTTGAGGAACCCCGCCATCCCCGCAGGCTTCATCTTCGATACAGAAAAGGAGATGGCTGGAAAACGGCACCGCTTCTCCAATTCGCCCCCGGCGTAGTGTACCAAAAGTACGAATGAGAATGGATCTTTGTTTTCCTAACCATTCTTTTTAGTCCCGATACCAATAAGGAAAAGGGTTATTTATAACAAAGTTTTTGTGTTGTTGATTCCTAGGTGTAGTGCTTTTTCCCCGATGCCACCTATTGGTACTAAATGAAGTAGTATTGACCTACAATACAGAACCTATAGATGTAACCTTTCGCTCAATACTAAAATCTAGAATTGAAGCATCTAAGGCTGCATCAATCGAATTTCATATCTATTTTAATGTAAGTTTTATTTATTGCAAGATAAATATTCATTTTTTCATTATGGGCATTATTCTTGTCATTTGTAATATGTTTTAGATGTCTAGTCATGCCTAAAATATTCAATTTTTACATATATATACATTTATAGATCTCTTTTAATGTTCATATATATATAAATGATGTAGATAGATTTTCCCTATTTAGTTGCTGCATAAATTCTTGAATGATTTATATGACAGCAATGTTTAATTTCATATAGATTATCTCAATGGAATATTATAAATATTAATCTTGCATGTCATATTACCTTCTCGCTATCGCAATGGTAAACAAAATTAGCAAGGAAACTATATGCACGTGCATAACAAAGAAAAACTGGGGGAAGGGAAAACTCAATGGCAAAGCAATATCAAATTGTTCAATTGTGAAACTAGAAACAAATGGCAATAGTACTAGTAAAATAGAACAGAAAAATGTTTTTTTTTTTTTTACTTGAATGAAAAGCCTTCATTCTTCATCTTCCTCGTGGAATCGCAGGAGCTTTCCTTCAGGTAACGACACCATTAGCTGCATCCTCCCCTGCTTCTTCTTTCGCTTTGGAATTGCCAAAATTTTTTTTGGGGGGGGGAGTTTGCAGGCGTTGGAGCCGCCACCAACGCTGGAGAAATGGGAAGAATCCCTAAAAATGGCAAGAAAGATGCACGGTGCCTATTTGAGAGCTTATTAACGAGTTCTGCCTCCTCAACCTTCTCCAAAAGGATTTTCACTTGCCCTCGAAGCAGCGATTCTCCAGAACCTGGTGTTTTATTTGGCAGAGATCCATACTTCATTACAGAAGAAAGGGGAGTTTTCTCTGTTGCAACGCCATTGATTGGGGAGTCGTTTGAGATATCTTGAACGCTCCCCAATCAATGGCGTTGCAACAGAGAAGACCTTTCCTCATCTCTCGTCATTCCCATTGTTTATTGACCTTTCCTCTTCTTGTTTAGTCTTCGTCTCTGAAGAGGAATTTAACTTTTTAAACAACCAAGCTTATTCTAGTACCATTATGAAATAAGTTTATGCCAGCAGAATAATTTACTGCCTTCAAATTTCCCTCCAGATGATTTAAGAGAAAGGAGAGAGTTGCAGCTATTTGTCCTGGTTGGTTCTCTTTTGAATTTTATTCCTTTATTTTGTGTAAAAATAAGATGAGAACTTGTAAATAAGTAGGTTGAAAAATAACTATTACAGAAAAATAAATTTGGAAACCAATCTTTCATTTTGGAATTCAAAATTAACTACACAATATAAATCAAAATGTTGTTTATGAATCGTTAGATTGTTCTAGATGAAAAGCAGTCATCCATGAATTGTTGGGTTATTGTAAATCGAAAACAATTGTTTATGGATTGCTAGATTGTTGTGGATGGAGAGCTACATTAATACAAATTGCTGATTTGCTATAGAGGGAAGGTTTTGACCATGGATTCATAATTATTTCAACACAAACCATAAACAAGCCAACAAACACCTTTCTCCCATGTCATCAAAGTCATTTAAAAGTGGGCTCGTTTGGGGTCCAATGAAATTTATATACAAAGAAAAAAAATTGGACCATATTTGCTGGAGCACACTAACTCAATTCATTCCTAAACATCAGGTGATCTGCTGAGTTAAATTTTATGAGAGAAAATGGAGTCAATGTCCTACAAGATGTTCTCACAAGAAAAAAAAAAAAATAGAACTCATGTCACAAAGATGGAATATGATGGCAAGAATATTTGATGACATTCGCAACCATGAAAAAAGATCGTTACCTGAGGGTGACTCTTCTATCATTGCCTCGGCCTCTCCATCATTGTTTTCATATGATACAATGTCCTCAGTGTCAGGCAAGTTACCATCCAAAAAGTGATTCCTATTATAGACTGCCAATCCATCTGCTACAACAAAAGAGAATTTATTTTTAATATAAATAGTCATTAAAATTTGAAAATCATATAAATGGCTTATAAAGCAGACAAACTGCTGGGAAACAAAGAATACAAGTAGTGTTGCTCGATGAACAAAAATGCCTCGTTAGCATTTAACGTTAGAATATCATCTAACAACATAATTATCATTAAAAATAAAATTGATTGATTTGCCAAATCTTAAGCAAACATATTTCTAGTTAGGGGCCGCTTGATGTGATGTATTTTGAGAACATGAACTTTATAAATGATAAGAGAAATATAAGATATTTTGATTTTCAAGCATTATTTATTTGGATAAATTAAATACAATGAAACAAATGCATTTTAAATGCTGAGTAAAACACGGATGAGCTAATGAAGGCCTCTTCTTTCTCATTCTCTTCTCTTTGAGAACAACATTGGCGATTAAATTAATCCATATCACAACCATTAACACAAAGGTTTCATTTGCTAATATTGTTGGTGTTGGCTACCTTTTCAAAGCCCTCACCCTACTACGTCCACCCCAACCAAGAAAAATCCCTTGACCCCACCTTCTCCGACATCCTTTGCCATCCTTGAAATAAGTTCATAGTCCATCCTACAAATGCTCAAGTGAGCAACGACACAGAAAACCATTAGGATAAAGGGTAGCCATAAGAGGGACAAACCTATTGAGATATGAGAGATTGAGGGCATCTCCAATCCAGAGCTTGAGGGGAGAGAAGAGAAAAGTAATTACAAAGCCTTTAATGTCGAGGAACTAGGCATTGGGGCCACAATGGAGGGCTATCTGGGTAGCGCTGGCATGGTAGCAATGCGAAGCTATCTGGGTAGCGTTGGCATGGTAGCAATGTGAAGCTTGGTGGTAAGAGCAAAGGGGATAGGTATGCCATGGTCATTGTGAAGATTGACGAGGAAGAGAAAACATGACAGTTGCGATGACGAAGATGTCAACGTGGTACTTGATGTACTACAAAGATAATTTGTTGCAATTAGAAAAGAAATAAGTAGAAGACAAAGGGCCGACAACAGGCTGGTCACATGGTTGTTGAGGAGGGCAAGAGCACCATCAAAGGATATGGGATGAGGGGTTTTCTTCAAGAGCGAATGAGGTCAATGATTGGTCAGGCGCAGCAATGCATTTGGAATTCAATCAATATGGGAGAATTTGAGACACACAAAATGCGGCTTTTGAGAATTTCATTAAAAAAAATCTGCATATGCTTTGCTTCATACCAAAAACTTGAAAAATAAAAACCCATGTAATCTTTGTATTTTGTACCTTTAATATTGGAACCTAAAAACCCTTTAATGATTTTTTGAGTTGAAAAAAAAAAAGAATAAACATGTTGCAAACAAAAAACAATACATTTTTAAATGAGCGGTTATCACCAATAGTGATTACAAAGAGATCAATTAACTTATTTAAGACTTGTTATTGACAAGTTTATTATTCATTGCTTTAAAAAAGTTGCCAAAAATAATATTTGATTTGAGAGGAACACGCACAACAACATCAATGGCTTCATGAATAGGGAGAATGAACTTTCTAAGCAATTGGCTTATCACCATGAGACTATGAGAGTAATGATGACTATAAAAAACACCAACAGAACATAGCAAAAGAATATCAAAAGAAGCTAACTGCTAATTGATACCTAATCCCACCATTAAAGATGCATGATTGCAAATGTCCTTATTTATATTCCATGCCATTTCATCACATTATTAACCAAACTAAGATATTCATATCTTTTAAGAAATATAGTTGATATATATTATGAAAGGAAAACATAAGAAATAAAGATGAAATGATAAGCAAGAAAAAAAAAAGAGCACAGCAAGTGATGCAACTCATTGAACCAATTTCAAAATGGCGACAATGTTAAAGTCAAGAAAGAACCCAGGAAAATCATTTCATGAATTTAAATTGTAATTATTTTTATTAGTATTTTTAGAAATTATCCTTTTGGATAGTAAAGATTATATTTCAATTAGATGATAAGATTAGATTTGAATTTGTATTATAAGATAGGATTAACTTTCAATTTAAAAGGGTATGGAGAATGTTGCTTGTCATTATTATGAATTGAAATGATTTTATTTTCCCTAAATCCCTCCTATCTCCTTTAATTAACACTCCACATAAGAATACCTATTTCCCATCTCTTCCCTCTCATTCCAATCACTCTCTAGACTTTTATCTCACAATGTCAAAATTACCAAGGCTGTGTAACTATCTATCCTAGAACAAAAGGGAATAATTGAGTCTTCTCCTCGATTTTCCATCTGCTCTTCCTAGAACAAAAGGGAATAATTGAGTCTTCTCCTCGATTTTCCATCTGCTCTTGAGACTAGCTCTCAATTACATAAGAGAATCAAGCACATTTCCAGATGAAGAAAAGCATCTAAAACGAGCCCTACACTTAACACAAGCAATTTTGCATGAGGAAATCATCAAAAAGAGGACCTACAATTACACAAGCAAATTTCCAGAAGGAAATAATCTAAAAGAAGACCTACGCCTATAAGATCTCAATCAATTTGATATAAGAACTGAAATCCAAAAGTAAACCCTAACCCAATAGAATCTTCTTACCCCTTAACTCAATTTTATAAAACATCATGCACATTTCCAAATGAAGGAAAGCATCTCAAAAGAGCCAGGAGCTCTTCACTTACACAAGCAAGTTTTCTGAAGGAAATCATCAAAATGGAGACCTACACCTGCAAAAGCAAATTTCGAGGAGAAAATGATCTAAAAGAACTACACCTTCAAGATTTTAATCAATTAAATATCGGAGCTGAAATCCTAAAGGCAAACCCTAACCCAATTGAATTTTCCTACCTGCTTACCTCCCGTTATTTTAACCAATTAAAACCAACCCTAAATAACCCCCACCAACCGCACAAGCACACCCAAAAAAATACAGTAAATAATTTACTATTGGAAAATAAAAAAAAGAAACACACACACAAAAAATAACACTTGCTTCCCATCCTTTCTACAAACCCAAAACAACCACTTCCCTTCCACAATCCCAATAAAAAAAAAAAAATTAAAACTCTAAATTTGATACCTAATCTAGAAACCTAGCAAAAATCCTTCAAGACTTAGATCAAATTGAAAGATTAGGGGCATACATCAAAATAGGACGGATTCAGTCAAGTAAGATAGATAACAATAAAAGTTGGAGTGGACCTCACATCTATGACAGCCAATCCATGGGGGTTTGACTTCATTATGCAATAGAATTTAATATGTATTGAACTTGGTCATTTTAATACTATGAGGTAACTACTCAATTTTTCATAGAAATCCTATCAGGAAAACTCATACAACTCAATAGTGCAGAATAGCACATGTTATGGCACAAAATGTGTAGTGTAGCCCCGTGTTATTCCATTGGTCAGCTGTGGAGAATGAAATGATGCATGCTTTTTGCATTATGCATGGGCAATAGTGTATAGCCACCATTTCGTGCCTTTAATTAATTTATATGATTTAGAGTTTAAAATTAGTATTAATATTATTTATAATTTATTTATTAGCTTTATCAGATTTTAATTTACACTTATTATGGCATCAAGGCAATATGCAAAGCTCTTGGCTTCATTTTGACATGCACACAAGGGCTCGCTCTCGTTGATCTCACCTTTGATGAACAAAGAAAGTCGAGCTCTCACCTTCAATCCATAAAGGTTTCCAAGGCTTCTATAAAGGAGAAGGGCTCTTGTTTTCGAAGTTCTCACTACTCTTACCTCACATGATAGCTTCAACCTTCTTACTACTCTCTCCTCACACAAAGGCTTCAACGTTCTCATCACTTTGCCTTTGACACAAGAAGCTTATAAGGTTTCAACTCTTGGTTAGCACGCTCTTGACACAAGATTTGTGGATTGCTTGTTATGATTATTCTTATTTTATTAAGTTGTGTAATAGGTTCTTTTTCTAGATATTTAGTACAGTTAGGTAGTGTGAAAAGTCATTTCTCTTTAGTAGTTTATGACATATAAAATCTCTTTAGTTTTATCTCTTCAAGTGGTGTGTTAAGTCATAATCTTTATAAGATCCCTCATTACAGTGTTTATGGCATATTAAGCCTCTTTAACTTCATCACTTAGGTACCTAAAAGAATATCGAATTTAGGTCAAACTGCAAAAAGATCCGACATGGATGTTCTTACCAGACATTTGCAAGAGGATGTACCCTCATGTGTGCTTTTTGCTGATTATATTCTTCTAGTTAATAAGACTAGAGAGGGAGTTGAAGGTAAACTCGAATTATGGAGGTCAACCTTAGAGTCTAAAGGTTTTAATTTGAGTAGATCTAAAACCAAATACATTGAGTGTAATTTTAGCAGTAATAGATCTAGTGGAGGTTTGTGACTTTGAGCGATCAAGTCATTAATAAATGTACTTGTTTTAGATATCTTGGGTTCATTGTTCAGAGTGAGGGTGAAATAGATGGGGATATTATTAGTAGAATCAAGATTGAATGGTTTGAAGATAGAGGATGCTACAGTTTTGTTGTGTGATAGAAAAAGTTACCACTCAAATTTCAAAACATTAAGGTGTATAAATTTTATATGATGGATGGTGAGACCTGAGGATTCATGGATTGCATCTGGGCACCACACCACCCGCCTCTGCCTTATGAAATCTCGTGATCTGACGGTGTAGAAGGAGAATCTCAGTAAGCCGTATACTTAACCCGGAGCATAATGTGAGCCGGATTTATCCCGATGTTCCTCACTATCATCCACGATCTTCCACCAAGCTCCTTCTCCTCCTTGGTGCCCGGCCAGACCCGCGTTGAAACCCCCGATCCCGCAGCTTCATCTTCGTACAGAAAAGGGAGATGGCTGGAAAACGGCACATTCGCTTCCAATCTCCGCGGCGTAGTGTAACAAAAGTACGAATGAGATGGATCTTTGTTTTCCTAACATTCTTTTTAGTCCCGATACTAATAAGGAAAAGGGTAT